CGGTGCTCTAGTAACTATCGGAGGGTGAAGACTTGATCGACGCATCCACGACCGATGCGGAATCTGCTCCTCGCGGGTCTGCTTTTCACGTGTCTTGTAAAATCCGCAGAGAATGACGGGCACCAACAGCTTTGACGCTATTTGGATAAGGCGTATGCCCCGAAAATGGATACAGTCACTGCACGGGCCCTTCTTGAAGATGGGAACAACAATTGATTACCCCCTTCCCCACAAGGGGGGCACCTGCTCAGTGAGTCAAACTTTAGAGAACAGAGCCACGAATTCTCTAGGAAGCTTTATTCCACCAGCTTTAAATAGATATGAGGGAAGGCCATCGGAGCCTAGCGCCTTATGAAGTCTCATACGGTACCTGGTGCATCAGAGTTGTCGCTGTAACTGTAAAGTTTAGTACTTTATATATCAGGGGCTTATATACCGATTACCATTGGCCTTGCCGAAAACTAGGCTGAGATTTCTGAAGTTCGTTTATAGCGTCCTACATTCGTATCTGCTCCCTGGTAACTTTCTGGAAAGGCGTTACCACTGTACAGTCGATGTTTGTCATCTTTGCTGAAGGTCAATGCCTCTCTATCTCTAAATGTCGAGTTAAGTACCGTAGCCTCCAAACTGTATTTAAACGATTGCGAGAGGAATGCTGAGGATATTCAGAAGATCACTGAGTTGCTTCAAACGAAGATTATCCGGTTATCTATGTCTTTTTTATTTCATGAAATGTCAGTGGTTCTCGTATAGCTTGTGATTCAAGACTCTATTTTACGCACTGAATAAAGTATAGAGGCTTGATAGATTTAGTCCGTTTGTGAAATTACGTTTCTCATGTAAAATCAGCATGTCTCCAGCCAATGAAAAGTGCTTTACAAATGTTCCATCTCTGTACAGCGCTTCCGAGGTTTTTCAGAGACACTTTGATCCCACCTGATGAACACACCTTCATAAAGTGACCAAATATTTATAGCTACTTTTTTCCTCGGTTGTATAATATACGTCATTTCGCTCTACAGCAATAAAGAGTGAAAATTCTTGATTCTTTGACACCGTAGGACACGTCGTAAGAAACGATACAAGAGGCTGAGTTTACCTCAATTAACCCCCTGCGTTATCTTTCACAGTTTGTTGATGAATGACATGCATAAATTGAGCCTGTTTATGGTCTGGGACCATGCCAGGTTGTGTGGTAATTAAGTTTTCAGCATTCTTAAGCCCTTCATTTTTTATTAGACATCTAAGTGTGATGAACATCAAACGAGGCGAACCCCATAGTCCCGAGGGCCCGCCGTTCAGTGGTTGGAACCGGCAACCTAAGCCCCGGGACTTGGGGTGGAGAAACACATAAGGCCCCGATAGGTTAGGCGTGGTATTGAACCGGACGACAGCAGAGCTGCCTACCACCAAAGTCGGGTGGCGGTGGCGGGGCTCGAATCTTGGACACTTAACTTTACAATCCGCAAACCGTATAAACTCTTTTGAGTTTCCCACCCAATTGCTTTTTGATTATATGCCATTATCGTATAAAAAATACAGCGAGTCAGGCTTCTGTGATCGCTGCCAAACTTAAAAAATATACTCAAATTAAGAATACTTGAAATGGATAGGTAGTAGACCTTTCTAGGGGAGATGAAAGAAAGTGACTTCCTGGGCACCACACAGCACAACCGTACTATGCACACACACCGGATGTAATCTAGATACTTCGTACATTGTTGGGCCATCAAGAGGCCTCCAGAATCCTTTAAATTTTGCAGTGGCATCGAATTTCATTTATGTCCATGGAGGCGTTGTACATTTGAACTGCTCCCTCGACACCTAATTTGGCAAACAGCTGTCAGGTTTTTAATGCTCAATATTGCGTAGTAAACATCAAATGGGTTAAACCAAATAGTCGAAAAATCTACTCCACTCATATTAACCTTCGATATAAGTCACGAGTTTTAAACTACACGCGATCCTAATTGGATAGGTGTAATATTGAACCGGAAGATAACGTAACCGCCTATCGTCAAAGTCGATTAGCGTTGGCAGGATTTAAGCTTCGAATATTAGGACATGAAGCATGCCAGTGACTGACTTTAACCACTTGTCTATCACAACCCTGAGGTTTAGCACGACTCAGGCTGTTTGTTCTTCTGTATTAAACTCTAGTTTGTCATGGAGTTACGCCCAAAAAACCTAGCAGTATTTGATTTATTTCGAAGTGTAACGTCACTGAAAAATGCACCGAAAGTTTTCAGCACTGCGTATTCGTGATTACCGATATGTCCTGAGGCGCGAACTGGAAGGATTGTGAATTATGTGTCGGCCTAAAACGTCTTTCGATTTTGAGTATAGTGTGATAAATACATAATTATATTGTCAAGTTTGGATTCATTATTGTCATTATTATCTGCCATCCCAAAAATGAAAGAAAACGAAAGAAAACTCAAAATGGCGTGCAGTAAACAAACAAAAACATTAGTACTCCCCGATGTTGACTGTTTTACTTTCCCCGCTTCTGTACCTATATTTTTTCACTCACCCATGGTTATTTGGCGCCGTATCTGTAAA